CTCAGTTAATCCCCAGTAGGTCGCCTTGCGCCTACCGGGTGGTGTCGTTGTCCCGCGACGAACCAGACTGGTAGGCGTTGGGGCGATCGTTCGAAGAACCTTGACGCGCCTTGCGCATGAGGCAACCGTACCGCAGGTGACGGGTGTCCCCACAGACAAAACACCGTCGTGTATTTGCGTGTTGCCCGGCAGCTCGGAGCTTTGTTCCTTTATCCTCAGCATAGCTGAGATCGATGGGTATAGGCCCGCTCGACGAGCTGTTGGGGTGTGTATTCCAACCAAGTCGTGCCGACTTGAAATTGAATTCGGCATTCAATGCCACATTCTCCACCTCTTCAAACGAGGACGGATGCATACGAAAGACTTCCATTCTGCCCACGCCAGTGCGGAGGCCTTCCATAAAGACAGTCACTGTGACCGCCTCCGGAAGGGGATTTGCTGCCATCCCGGCAATGAGAGTGCGCATCTCTTGGACAAAGTTCACCAACTTCATGTTGCCCTGTCGGGCGGCAAGGAAACGCGATCGCGCGCGATATGCCTGATTAGGCGGCGAGAATACTCGTGAGAGCTGCATTTTTAGCTCCGCCCAGGAGGGAAACGCAGCTTTAACCGAAGTGCCGCGCGTCAGTGCCCATTCTCACGCTCGACCACCTAGCTTTGAGATGGCAAGCGCTAAGGGCTGTTGCTTGGGCTGGTGCATGGTGGATGCGATGACCATTTCGACCTCTCTCACGCAGAGCAGGAGATTCTCTCCATTTCTCCCTTCAAAGACCTTCACGCTCACCATGAGCGGCTTAGGGCGGGAAAAATCATCCGTCACCGACGGTGGCGTCATAGAAGCAAATGATGCAGACATCTTCTGCTGCAGGTGCTCTAGCAGCGCGTTTTCGTAACTAGAAAACGCCACCGAAGGCCTCGGGACCTTGCGCTACAAGGTGTTGCACGCCCTCATGGCCAAGCAAGGACATCAGATTGTTAAGCCCGCTGGGGCAAAGAGGAGAATTCCTCCATCCTCACAGTAGATTTATCTAAACGAGTCAGGTACCGTCTTTACGATAGCGCACAGCTATACAGTATGACGAGAGAGGAAGACGAAAACGTCACCCTCGAATCTTTTCCCGCGGTGAGTGCTCTTTATGGGTCCGGAAGATATGTCCTTCGAAGAGTTTTGGGTGCCATGAAGGCAGGCGATTTAGCCGAGTTGGTCATCAAACGACCGGAAGAGGAGATTAACTCATCGTCGCTTCTGGATGAAGCTGTCCTGGAGAACACCAAGAGGGGTAAAATGACTACAAGTGCTACCAGCTTAGCGCTTGAGGAAGCGTAATTTAGGTCACCGACCTTTCAATCTATACTTAAAACAAGTGGATCGCATTCCGCTTACTCCAAGAGTAATTATTGCCTTACCCAAGGCCTATTAGGTCTTCCGTCTAAAATCCAAAACCGATTTTTATTTTTTTATTTTTATCCTAATTTTAAAAGTTTAGATTCTCCTAAAAAATACTAAATATATATAGTAAAATCTAAATACATGCATAATTACTGGCTTCCTAGCCACATACCGTATTCTTGTTTGGGTGCAGTCACACCATGTACATCTCGTGTGACACACCCCTGCTACCGGGGTACGTGTAACCCCTGTTACATCTCTGGTGTTCATGAAAAAGGAATGATCACCATCAATTTGGCAAATCGTACTGAGGAAAGTGCAGCCGACCATGCTCTTCCGCAGCACATCATCTTAGGGATCAGCGTTTGCGCTAAAAATGATTGCGGCCTTTACCTTGTTGTAAGTAGCTGACATATAGGCCGACTGAAGTGCATCCGTGTATAGGGTTGTGATACGTAATAAATCACGCAAAACGATAGCTAGCAACTCTCCAAGTAGGGATGATTCGGCGTTTCTCAAATATACATAAATATGATGTTCAAACCAAACCACGGCCTTGCAGACGTATTCAATTTTTCTTAATATTCATCATCTTCCGGTATGCGAGGTAAGATTTTTTGGTGCAAGGCAAAGAAGAAAAACCGGCGATATAAGCACGAGAGCCTTACATCAATGCAAACAGACTGAGCGCGATTCAAATACTCGAGTATCCACGTAGTGATGATGATACCGTAACTTAGCAGCCCAGACTCCGATTACACGTATGAACGCGGCTAATAAGAGCTGCCCTTTTAACAGGTTGAAGTCGTTATAAACATTCCACTCGCCGTGAGGCTGTCTGACACAGAAAACATCGGTGTAGAGTAGATAGATATTTATCTCTGGTACTTTTTACTGTGCTCGGATTGAAGCGTCTATGCCCTCTCGGCGAGGACCACTGCCATCCGATTCAATGTCTGGCTTCAACAATCACATCATATTTATGGTGCACTTCTTGGTGGGACTCTTGTTATCCCGTCTTCATACCGCTTTCACATTAAAAGATCCTTAGAATCATACAGAATAGCTGGCCATCTTTAGATCTTATCGTCTCGCAAGTGGCTTCGAGGCAAACTTATCCGTAGCAAAAATGAGCTCTGCTTCTCCTCTGGTATCGACCGTACCGATCCGGTGATCTAACCGATATGTGACCCTTTGCTAACATTCTTTGGTGGTGTACTCAAGCGCGGTATGATCACTCGATTATGGTATTGAGGGCGGCAAAACGCCTTAAGCCTAATTCCGTGACTTCTCACTAGCGAAAGATTTCTTTCGCCTCAAATCCGTTAGGCTTCACCGCTTCATACAGTGGTCACGTTACACGATAGTGTTGACTTTGCAGAACCGTTACATTAGGACAAGAATTAACAATCTTGAGCTTCGTCATCCCCGTCAATACATCTCGCGACTTGGAGGTGGCTGTCCCCTCTTGTCCATTCTTTGAGGACTGCGGCACAGAGCCACTCTGGCTCAAGTCAATAGTATCACACCTATCAGATTGTCACAAATGAGTATCTATATGCGTTTCACCGGAATAAATCTCTGGGAACCGCAATATTCTGTCGCCAATTTCTGATGCAACATATACAGAATCTGTAAACCGCTATATAGAACCTCCATTTCCAGTCTTTTCGAGACAGTGCGGCTTAGTGCCGCTTCTTCCTCCATAACCCAGCTCGAGGACACCGCAATATCATCGCTATTCGTTTTGAATAATCTTTATCCAGTACTTATGTTACCGAAATTTCATACCTGTACCAAAAGCGCTTCTGAAATCTAACCAAGATTTTTACGCAACCCACCGAAGCCTTACTGAAGGAGAAGCGCTGATACCCTGTGTTTTTGACGTGTAAGCGATTCATTATCTAGGATAAAGTCGTTTCCCGAATCCAGATTAAGATCTTAACAGCGTTCTGCGTTGGCCATATCCCTGCCGCGAGTCGCACTGATGTCATATCCGTTCTAGGCTTCCTTAATGTCACCGCGTATTGTCTACTGTATTTACCGCACGACGTCCGTAATCGCACAACGCAACTCGATGTCCTTTCGTTGGGGGTCTGTCATGTGACCCTCCATACCTTTTGACCTAGAGAGAAGACAACATGCAGGGCACAGATGTTTTGTACTCCCATAGATATACCATCTGCGAGTATCACAACGCTGTCCGACACCTAAGAGACATCCTCTTTTTCCTCAGCTTGACTTCGGTCTATCGCCTCAAGTGCATCCTCTGATCGATGATCATACCCTATAATTAATGATACTTGATGCGACTTGCATAGCTTTCGTAAAAGATGCTTGGTGGGTGCGGAACGCTTACATTTGTGATGTGAGCCTCACATGTATGAATATTCTCCACGAAGATATTGACTTTTTTGTTTCCGCGAAAGATCTACTGCGATCGAAGAAATGAATGTTCTTAACTGCTGGACATAGTTCACAAATTATTGCCTCCCTTGACTAGTGTTCAAATAATCATTCAAACACACGAAATACGCCTGGCTAGGTGGCACGACCAACATCTGCTGCTTCATTTCCCCTTCAGAGCTACTGCACATGCATGCCCATTTTCACCGGCGGCCTCCTACCATTGGGACCACTTGCATGACCCGGCAAGGCTTTGTTTGAAGCATGGCCAACATCATATTCATTTTAACCTCTCCTGACCATAGTCGAAGATTCAATTTCGAATTCGAAGAGCTTACCTTCAGGACCCTTGCGGTAGGTGCTAGTTTGGCTCAACCAACACCTTGAGTAGGCATTCCTAAGGTATCTTATTAGCGTACTTTCATACTGGGTGAGTATCGACAGATGATTAGTTACCGCTTTCGCGTCCAGGCCCGCAATTTCTGCTATTCCATCGAGGCCATATCAAAATAAAAGTTCATTCAATGTGTCTTGATAACAGATAGTCAAACAACTCGTATATCATCCTAAGGGAAACAAATATGTTACTCATGGTACCAAATGCATGGTAATTCTCGTGCACCTCATAAAAGTCTTACCAGAGATTTCGCGTAACAAATACACAGAGAATGAGCTCGCACGTTCAGATCAGGTGGAATCGAAAGTTTTGTAAGAAAACTTGAAGCCTTTTTGGGACTTGTGCAACTTGAGAAGTTAGCTATATATTATCTACAAAAACTTAGGTCCACTATGTAGTTAAAGCTTTATGTATTAACTAAAATCAGATCTAACTTATATATATGTGGTCTACATCATTTACTTCTACGCTTATAGGGAAAGCTATAATTTGCACCCTCTATATTGTATTCAGCGCGTCTAGTCCATGATTCATCCGGCTGTAAAAATCGTGTTCATGACTTATGCTTGGAACATTAATTCGTCCATTGAAAAGAGCTATGTAATATCGAGATATTTTAAAGCTACACGTCATGACTTGTCATATGGTCTGACGTCTCTTTTATACATGTAACTGGTACCTACAATGTTTCTGCCTCTCAACTCTACCGCATAAATTGTTTCGTATTTTATATTTTCCTTCATTACGGATGCGCTACCATATTAAACAAGTCGTGGGTTTCGCTGCTGTTGTTCTGGCCACGAATGTCATTGCTTCTGTTATGCCATTCCCAGTTCGTCAGTCGACTGGCATTGAGGTTGAAAAACTGGTGAATGTACAAAACAGGAAGGGGATGGGTGAACGAAAAGTTGATGGCGAGGAAAGAGCTAGCCATGTGTTCGATTTGTTCGACAAGAATATGATATATCCACTCAAACGATTCATTGGATACCAGCCACCAGCAAGTGCGTCGAAGAATCGATTGGGAGCCAACGGCGCTAAAGATGCACAGTGGTTCGAGAAGATGATGCCAAGTTACGCACAAAGTCTAAACAGCGCTAAGGTGATGCATAGCGATCGGCTTAAATGGAAGATGCTTTATTTCTTAAAGGGCTGATCAGGTACCATCTACCAGCGAATCCATCAAAGAATCGGTTGGATGCCAAGCGGACGCATTCACTTGAAGAAAAAGTGGCAATCTACTACAAACTTTCCAGAGATAAACCTCGATGATGCCGGCACAAAACTTCACAAAAGTTTGATACTTATGGACACCCCTCGCAGTATGTTGTCAAGTTTAAAGACGAAAGTTGTATGGAATATGCTTTGGAAACGAGATATCTTCGAGATAGTGAGTTCGTACATCAAAGCCTGTGAGGATACTGCTTCGACGAGAAGCGCAGACAAATGGGGAGTTGAGGCTGCTTATGAAGTGTTGCGAAACAGTGGCAGGCTACCTCAGTTTGCTAAATTACTGTTAGAAATGGAGAAACAAAGCAGTGGACCAGAGAAACGTTCTTCGGATTCGATCAGGTCTGAACGAACTTGCGCTCAAGAAGAAATGGACAAAAACAGAAGTTAGGGATTTATTTGGACAGGATTTTCACATTGATACTGCCGTTTAGTGCTTCGACGATGCCGTTCGTACTGCTTGGTGATTGTAGAATGCGCTTGGATAGCATGTCTGTCACTGGAGTTGTAGCTGCTGTGTGAGTCGGTAGACTATGGTATTTCTGCCCGAAGTTGGGGTGTTTTGTCATGTAGGCAATCTATTCAGAAGCTCAAGCACAGATTAAGTCAATGCGATAAACGTCGATGGCGTTCTTTTGATCGGAAGAGTATTTTTCAAACAAAAAATATAGCGCTGAATAAAAACGCTATTCTACCTTCATGACATCGTCATCTAGACAAAAAGCATACTTCGATCAATTGTTATTTATTGTGTTACTAGTTTAATTCAGACGGGTATCTACTCTGTCTTCATTTGCCTATCCTATTCTCGAGCCTTCATCGTCTTGAGCGCTGCTTCCACGAGCTTCACCCATTGATCATGTATATTGATCAAACAGCAGCTAATCGACTTTTTTTAAGAACGTTATCGCTTCCGTAAATTGTCTTGTAGGTATTGTTTTTTTCTGCTGCGATGCAATTATAAACATCGTTTTTAACCATGACTATAAAAGATTCGTTCATTGCTGGCTACAGTGCTTCTTAAAGCGCGGTATTGACGAAGTACTGGATTGAGTGGAAGTAGCAATCTAGAAAAGATGGTGACAGCGCATTTGAACGCTCCAACGCACATATCGAATTTCTGAATCGTTGACTGTCACGTGCGATTTAGCATTGTTTTGTTAGACTCTTTCCTCTACATAACCAGAAAATTATCGTTTTTTAGTGTCGCTTTAAAGATCTTTTCGATCTTACGCATTCCACAGCACGACAGCTGCTTCGGTTTGTATTTACGCGTTTGTTTCTTAATCATAGCATAAACCCAATTTTCCCGTTAAACTGTTCTAATTAGATTGTTTAAGGTATCGAGATACAACTGTGATGAACATGATCTGTCTCTTGCTGTGGCTCTGGCATCAGGTTCCTCATCATCACCATCTCGACAAAAAGGACTGACGATAAAGAAGTACGTGAGAGCAACTTTGTGGTAGGCATATCGTCAATCTCACTTAGGGGAGCTTTGACTAGTTAAGGCGGCGTTAACCGAGGTAGCGACACTCAAACTAACTTCGACTTATTTGCTATAAAGCTATGAATGATAATGTAATTGGAATCAAGTCTTGATTTAAAAACGTACAGACTAAAATTTACTATAAAATCTAAAAGTTATAATCTGCATAGATTGAGGCTAGCACTCAAGTAAGCGTGGCTGCTCATCTCACGCTGACAATATATCGTGTTTACTATTGTTGTGAGAAAATTAATATATAGTATTAGTGTGAATTTAGTTGAGTATGAATATGGCATAGCACTAGTTACTTGAGAGGCATTCGGTCCCGCTTTCTGGGCGTTTCTATGCGGACTTGTTGAATCAAACTTCCTCTTTGTGAGGTATACGGCAACCTCGTTGTAACGTATGAACCACCCAAAAAAGTTATGTCACCGTTACATGCTCAATGTGATCATAAGATCATAAATAGTGTGTCTAGTTACGAGACAACACGCATGTAATGGTAGCTTAACGCGCTCTCACTGCACCAAAACTTATTTTTTATTTGCAACTTACAGTGCCTGCTCGCACGGAAACCCACTTTCAACCAAGCCATACAGCTAAACGAGGTTCTGTAAAATGTGCGCCGATTTTCGTGGCCGACGACCTACAAGCAATCCACAGCGAGGCGGCCGAGGTGTTCTTCGATGAAGTCAATTATAGTGACTATACATGTCTTGAGCCAGCGCATTTGCTCTAGCCGATCGACATAAGGCGAAGACCCCCCGTCTGAGGAAGATATTCCGTGGTTTACACGTTTACACCTCGCCTCACCTCCGCATAGATTCTGAATTTTGCGCCAACTCCCTGCGACGAAGGATGTACGGCATCCCCCCGCACACACGAAGCTCATGACAGCGGCCAGCTCTCCACTAATGATCTGGAAATGACTGAATGCCAAACCTGCCCGTTTGCGAGCGCAAATTTCAATGCGACCGTCGCAATCTCCCCCATGTCGTGATTATGAGCAATATCTATCATTGGTGTCTTGCCACGCCACAACAGAGCCCTTATATTCGGGCTCTTCGCCCATATCAAAAACCAAAACATTGCTCGAAGAACACCTCGCGCGCATGTTATGACCCCATCGATCACCACTCCTCAGGAAAGTTCGTCTCGCCAAAGCAGAAGAGCTCTGTTATCTTCAAAAGGAGGATACCTTGGTACTGATCACTCGCAAAGCGTCGGATGGAGTCTTGATCACTTCGCGCACTCAGTAAAGTAGGTATGTCATCTCCTCCACCTTTTGATGCTACATGTCAGCTTCAGTAAAGCATTCCACAGACTAGAACGTCCATTAAACTTGACTTTGCAACAAAAGCTCCATGTTGACGTCGAGACGAAAGCTCATCGTCGTAAGTAGCTAAGCTTATCTCCTTAAGCATGTTATACAGCTACTGGCCACGTCAAGAGCTTAACATAGGGTCTGGTCTTGCTCGCTAGCAATCAGCACCCTACGCTTGCCATCCTGTCTCTTCTCATTCGGAGGTAAGCATGAAAGAAATGCCAAGTCGTAGGCAGCAGCGACATCGATAAATCTTGCCGAAGTTGGTCTTCAAAGCTCCACGAGGTCTTACCGTTAAGGCATTTTGTCCACTTCACCGACGGCCCAGCTTAAAAGTAAGCCATCATACAATGTCGAGCAAATTAAGTAGAAAACGACCTTTCCGCAGCAGGCTCTCGTGGTTATGGCGAGATATGTACTTTCTAGCGGCGCCTCGACGCTCGGTCGATGCTGACATTAATCAAATCATGAATGTGGAATCTAAGCTGGGCAGTCGTACCATTCAGCATGAGGCACCCTACGCAATCCAGATAGGATCGTTGCTTAGAGAAGATGCAATACGGCTACAAAGGACAGCTGAACGCTGCATCGTTATTAAAAGATGGTTCAATTAGTGACTTGTAAGAGTGGGATCGTTCTACGGCTCCAGTGGGTTGTGTTAAACACATGATACGGCCGTAATTTTTTGGGAGCGTTGAGTGAGCAACATAACTCCTTCCTACCGTGAGGCTGCATCTTATTCGTATAGGCTACTGAACTTGCATGTGTAGTTAGGTTTTAAGCAATTTTTAAGCCGCTTCCCCCACCGAATGCGTGTGACGTCTACGTCTACCATCCGAGTGCTGCCGTTGCATACCCCAAATTTAGGCCATATCATTGAAGACTCATTAAATGACGCTTGATCTCGTCGGGATGGTATCATTGGGTGTGCTCCGACAAGTCACCTGGTTGAATCAGCAAGTTATGTTGTCATCCCCATCAAAATCGAAGCCAATTCGTGGCGGCGTCAACGGAACGGGGGTCTAACCAAACCAATAGTGTTAACTCTATAGAAATAAAAGCTGAGTTGCTCAAGAAGTGATAGCAATTTATTTCATCACCGCAGACGCCCCATGCGAAAGATTCAATAGATATGATTGACCAAGCAACTAACGCGTTCTAATTGGAAATATGCCTGAGGACGTTCGGTGATAAACATATTTATATCTGGTGGTTAGTGCCCAGCACAAAAAATACCGAATCTAAAATGGAATCACGAGTCCTGATCCGAAGAAATTGCCACCGACGGGACATGTTGGCATTTTTGTCGAGGTTTAGTTTCTCTGTATCTCATGCAGCCGGATTAATCATATTTACAATAGCCAATATGCCTAGATTAGTCTCTTTTGAAAAAAATCAACACAGAATAATGAATATGAACATTTGATCCAAACCGACAGACTGCCGGTACATGCGGCACGGGATTCGAGTTTTTTCTCATTTATTCATGTTGGATCACCGTTAAATGGTGCCCCATGAGACCTATGTCGTTTCACCAACAATGGGTAACGCAAGTTGGCGTAATATGTCCTGAATACGATCATGTATCTGTTCCTTGCACCAAGTGGTACTAACACGAATTACAATATTGTGTGAGCTAAATCTGAAATACAGCTAATCTGGGGACGAGAACCAGTCACGCATAACGCAGTCAAACTCTTTAATACCCGGCATCCGCGCTTGACATTTTGTGCAACATATGAAATTTACCAAGCCTTACGCTGTATGTTTTGCTTCTTCGATGCGCGACATTACTATCGTAATATGCGACGTCCCACACCCTTGCGATACAAAGCGCCTTTGCTACAACAAAAAGTTTTACAAACTTTCCACAAACGTTTTATCAGTGAAATTATTAAATATTTTACTATTTGTGACAAGGGATGTGATGACGATGCTGCTGCGCGTCATAGGAGATAATTACAAATGCGTTAAAGCAAGCTAACTTGATAAGCCGCTCACCATTTCGAGTAGGCCAAACCAATTATATTTACATATTAAAGCCGGCAATATGACGCGCCCATTCGTATGCACTTGGAGCTAAAGCATAGCCTTTATCAAGGCCGAAGTGCCACAGGCCATATGAAACGACCAATTCGAATTGGTTAAGGTCAGAGTCGAGGAACATACAATACTTCGTTTAGCAAACTTAAAAACTGCCCCTACAGTCGCATTTTAACACGACGTGAAACCCTACTTATGGAGCTTGGTGCCATGTAGACATACTTACGCAAGTAGTTGGGAGTGTCAAACCATCCCGTCGAGACAGCGGCTTCCCCCATCCTCAGTGATCTTGATCATCATTGAATCTACCGGCAATTCATGCTTTCCAAACGAGTATCCCAGACAGAAAATTTCGTCTGCGCCAGAGACACACTTGTCTAAATTGTTGAATATCTTGTAAAATCTACAGCCGAAATTTTTTTGCAAGTGTTTGCTGTGATTGTCCCCATTCGAATTCGCGTGCTCTAAAATAGAATATACCATTAAAATGGATATGTGTATCGGCACGATGCGGTCGATAAAACTGCGTCCCCGATAGTTGAGCGTGAAGTTTTTATTGAAAATTCACTGAGACTTGAGAGCCACTCCGAGATGATCCTGTTTGAAGTGCTCATTTCGGTGATAGGGGCATTACTGTGTCTTATTGTAGAATTTACATTTACTTCCGAGGTCATTAGCACGGAACAAGGCGCAGCCAACCGTGCATATCTGTAATAAGTCATTTCTAGGAATTTCAAAATAATGCCTGCATCTTGTTCAGTTGTAGCATGCACAACGTTTCCACTTGCCAGAAGCCCTGCGGAGACAGAATGTTGGCTTCGAGTTGAAAGATTCAGTCTCTCTCACCAAGCCGATACGTTCTTTGTAAAAAACGTCTATGGCGTCAGACTGTTTCCTTGGTCAGCATCATTGCCGTTGAACGCAGTATACGGTGGATAAATTTCATTGTATACTTCCATATCCAGGGATGGTAGGTTTCTCGTCACCATATCGTTTTAATTTTTCAACCTGGATTAGCACAGATCCTTAAGATTCTTGAAAAAAGCCGTCCACTCTTCGCACTCAATGGTTTGCGAGGGTCCAGAATAACGGACTTTGTATGCTAAATAGTAATCTCGGCTTCTCCTCGGGTCGATTTATGTTAATCAAGTGATCGCAGTATTGTACTACTCATTGCGAACATATCATATGCATGAGTAGATAAGCTTAATAAGACGAGGTAATCAAGGAAGAATTACATTTCCTTGGACCATCCCACTTACTCATTTGCGAGTGAATACATTTTCATGTCAAAAACCTGTGCTATGCATAATGAGCGCTTCCCACGGTAGTGTTGACTCAACAGTACAGCTACATTGTGGTAAGGATGTATTAATGGGCTCTAGATTGACTAAGGTCGAATCGTCAGAATGCTACGCATTCCCCTTATGATAGAGCGTTGACGATTCATCAGCTCATGCTTTTGATGCGGACATATAGCTGCAAGAGCTTTGACAAAGGGCGTTGAATTGTCCAGTGACTAGTCACTAATTGCTAGAAGTCTGAAGGAGATTTTGGATAGCGTGATATCCGGAATATACGTTTGTGGGCTGGATCAGCGACTGGATATTGATGACTCCATGGCTTGGTCCTGTCGGGACATATCGAAGCGTATAATTTGTGGTCTCCTCCTAATCGACTAACAACAGTCACCCATGGCCACAAGGACTTCCCTTGTGGCCATGGGTGACTGTTGTTAGTCGATTTCAAAGGGCAAATGCTGATTTTACAGCGGATGCTTTATCTTCGAGCCGCTGTACCGTTACAGTCGGGTCAGCAACTTCGAGCTATCGCCGTGCGGGACGTTAAAGCTCGATAAGTATATGACTAACGTCTTGATACACTTTGTAGTATAAATAGATCATGCGGATTCAAGGTGATACTTTTTCATGTGTAGAATCTTTTATAACGCCTAAGTAATTATTCCTAAAGATGAGACTGCTAAAGTGGTACTGATAGCTCCAGAGGAAGGGCTTACGTCGTAATGTAGGTAATGAATCCGGATACTAAAAGCGCGCTAGGTATGAGAAGTATAACGGATAGTCTCAAGATCTCTCATAAATCCTTCAATCTTTGCCGAATTTGTATCATGACGGTATTAGGAGACCCGTCACATTGTCGCCTCAGTTCAGTGAGATTGAATTTTGTAACTAAATACTGCGAAACACGCTGGTGACCCTTACTAAGGATACAGTTGGACGCAAAGGGGCCTCTCCTGCGCAACGAACAATACCGTTAGAGTGCATTATACTGCTCGAGGATGATTTTTATTGTTGCAAAGGCTACCGCCGATTGAAATTCTCTGAGGTTACAATAAGCTAAATGAAGCCATCGTTCTGGTGTAAACTTTCCTTGTACCCTGTACAGCGCTCTGAGCTACTGCTACAAATTATCCATGTGAGAAAGTGAATCTCTCTCGCTGCGATGGGCACTCCGGGGGTAAGCTCTGGGATTGGCAAGTTACACCTCAGGGACACTACCCACCTTGATGACCTGCTGCCTGTATAAAATTTTACGCATGTTAGAACAACCACATCTAGTCGATCACTGATGACCTTTGGGCTGGGTTATGGCTTGAGTTTCATTGGCACTCAGTCTATTGTGTGGATGAAATTTGTCCGTCAATGTTCATGAGCAGGTTTCATGCAAGTGCATGGTTTTGAACCCGACTTCATGCAGCGCATACTTTTCCCTTTCATCCATCCGCTTAGTACTGGTATTGTCTCATAGCGCGATAATGGCAGTACGTATGATCGAGCTGAGCGCGTGCGGACATGGTGACAACCCGCACGCTTTAAGTAGATTTTTCGTCTTTTCGTCAATGTCACATCATGTAGCTGTAGAGAGAGAATGTCTTCATTAATGATATCGAAAGATGCAATTGACACTTAATGGAATAAACTCCTTTTTTGTTTCAATTAAGTCAAAAAAAACAATCTATGAAATATTCATAATTAACTTAAATTTTCTCTCACTTAACGACAATTTATTGTACACCACTTATAACATCAACTTCCATCTCTCATTGAATCGTGCGTCGTAACTTATTGCGAAAGTCTTTCTTTAATGCTGATAACACATGAATATCATCATGTAAATCAGCAATCAGTTGATCAGGAGCCTTGCTGTCCTTCCGCAATGTTGCCAAAAGCACCTTTTTGTTATGTAAAGACTCAAAAATCACTTCAAAATTCTGCAGCAATAATCCAAAGTACTTTTGCTCAGCCAAAGCAGCACGCATCGAAACATCTTGGGAACTATTGCTTGCATTTGAATTGGCATTGCTACTGCCTTCTTCTCCTGTCGTCTCGGAATTTTCCGTACTATTTTCTTCAGGTGATGGACCACGTGAGTCCCGATTGCGTTGCACAGGACCAGATTCTTCATTTTTAACTCCATCAGTTGTACCAGCACCATCAACGCACGCAGTACCATTACGAAAAGCAGCAATTGCTCGTGCACTATCGTAAGCACCAGAAGAAGTACCAGCTACAGCAATTGGAGCAGATCGTTTGTAGCGTTTCAATGTGCGTAACATAGGAGAACCCGATCCAACTAATGGTCCTGCTTGTTGTTGTTTCTGTGCTTGCTGTTGCTCATGAGCGATCGATTCCGATGCTTCGCTTGTACACTTTTCGTCAATGTATTCATTCGACTTGATCAAATGCAAAAGATCCGGTCGTAAATGTAAACGCTGGTGCAAATAGTAGACATCAGGCCTTCCATTACAAAATTTTATGTATTCCCGGTCATCAACTCCTGCATGAAATAAAGCAAGAAAAGATTAGTCAATTTCATCTTTTAAAGAAACACAATCTACTAAAACTATCGCTACTCATAATAGAGTCTCAGCATTTCGTGAATTACCACATCAAATGTGGCAATCGAAAAAATGCATCAACTCTCAGCAGGCACAAGCGATATGTAATTGTTCTCACTCTTGTTCATACCAGCAGCGGTAAATTCAAAACACGTTTTCGTGTAAGCAAACGACAATTCTTTCCAGATTTCCCATAATTGCATGCTACTCCACTTAAAATTACGCGAATTAGTTGCACTTCCACTCCCCAACGGACCTCCTTCTCCTTTAGCACAATTAGATCCTGGTGGATGTTGTCGATTCAGTAACGCAATGTACATTTCGCGTACATCGACCCAGAATTGCCATCGTGATAATTCAGCTGCTAATCGATCAACAAATTCAGCAGAGAGAACGACATCAACCAGTCGAATCACATCTTCTGACGTCACAGGTACTTCTTTAAAATGCGACTCAGTTTTATTTTCTTCGTCTTGATAGTATCCACTATTGTCTGATTTTGTTAAACCAGGTCGTTGTGGATGGCTATCTCCACCACTTGATGGCGGTGATGGACTCTGACTGCCATATTTTCCATAATTTCGAGATCGTGTTGAATACAAGTCGTATGGAGATGCTTGTTGACTATTTCGTTGATCATACCGTAATTGATACTGCGATTCGGAACGTGTACCAAGCATTGAATTAGTTCCTACACTTGATGGTCTTCTTGTGTCCATTCTTCTTTGTTGTGCTTGTTGTTGTGGTGACGAAATTCCTGGCGAATGAGATATAAACGTCATATTCTCAGTACTAGCTGCATCTGCCATCTCTTTCAATCGTTGATTACGATAATATCGATATAATGCTTCCACCATCACATGTTTTTTCACATTTTTCAATCCACGAAGCTTTAAATGTGAACACTTTTTTCGAAGTTGTTTCGATGTCCATGTTTCATATCGTGTACTATCTCGTGGATGACGTGCTTCACCTGAAGGTTCATATTGTCTTGGATCTTCACTTGGTGGAATAGTATACATTGGCTGCATTAAAGGTGCTGAACGTGAGCTATTGATACTACTTGGTCCACGACGAAGTGTTAATTGTGTACCCGACTTTGTTCCATTTTGTACAACCACACGATGATCAGGTAATCGTAACCCTGTAACATTCGCTCCACGACTAGTGTAACCATCATATTGATGTGGTAAATGTCGTTTAATTCCACGTGTTGACATATTTCCAGCCCATGACTGATCTGTCATTGCAGGAGAAGATGTAGGTGATGAATGATTTGGATTATACGACGAAGATCCTGTTGTTATACGACCACGTTCCGATTCGTAGTATTGAGTAGACATTTGTCCCGGGGAAAAGGTACCATTACCATTATACGGACTAGGTAACGATTGAGTCGGGTACAGATGACGTCGTCCTACACCGGTATTCTCTCGGTTACCGGTATTCGTAGTACTGGTTGTACATGAATGAGTCTGACTTGACTCAGGAGTTGATTGAGCCTTTAGCAGCCGCGTGGTCGTGTCTGTTGTCGTGGTTGTCGTACTACTTGTGTTGGTCGTGCTATTATCCGAGCTCGATGTACGTAAAACAGCTGGTAAACAGCGCATGGGACTATTTCCGTCGCTACTTGAACTCTGTTGTGTGTTCACAATGCAACCCCCACGCTTCTTGTTGTCACTAGATTTGTTTGGACTATTACCATTAGAAATTGTACTGTTCTTTGTAGTTGTATTAGAACTAGTCAATTGTGTAGAAGTTGATGGAGATCCAGTCATTTGTGCGCTTGATTCGAGCGTTGGAGCTGCAAAGCTTGTGGTCATTCCTTTCGAGGAAACGCTTGCTGCTTGTTCGTTTTGTGATCTGTTATCCCACCCAGATGGTGTTAGTTCGTTTACCATAGGCGAGACACGATGGGGTTGTCTCTATTTAAACACGTATATACACTATCCCAAAGACTCACATTTAATCGCCCCAACAAACGTTGTTACTTGAGCTGGCAAAATTTCTTCTGCTCTCAGCAATAGCGCAGCTGGCGTGCGACCTGTCAGATTTAATCTTGGCTACAAACTAGATCTTACACCGAACATGAGCGAATTCGAGACTTGCGATGGTCACGTTCTGTTGCCACACTTTATCGTACTGTTAGCCAACGAACAGAAAAAGGGATGGGAGAAGAGACGCGAGGCTAGGCGACACTGTCAAAAGAAACCTCTATATTTAAGTAAATGCATTTCTCGAAAAAGCGACCAGCGTCAGCGGACCGCAAGGATCGGTTTAGGTACACCAAGTGGTTTAGGCACGACGACACAGGGCTGCAATCGAAAGTATTTGAAGTTATACATAACGTAGCTGCATCAAATGAATGGTAGGCTTGTTGACATGAAGCAACAGTAAAATTGGTTTAGGCCGGACGACCGGAAGATTAAGGATAACCGACCAAAGTCGGCTGTCATCTTAACTCAAGATTTGTAAATGTACCGTATCAGAAATCACACCCACAGTCTGAAAATGCTGCTTCCTTTGTTTCGAGCTACTGAAGTTTCTCATGCCGTCCATTTAAAATAAAAATGTCGTCCACAACTTCAATTCATCGCAGTATCAACCCACTGCCACTAAAAATAGCAAACTCACCTGAGTAATGGAGAACTTGGTTACTGTATTGTGATGGACACGCTCTGAGCTTCTTTTTCACGAACACAGTCGAATTCGTGACTTGGTACGACGAAAGCGCGACGATTGGCTTTATTATCAAGTATTTCAATTAGCCGTTGTGTTTACAAATGCAGTACGAGTGACTAGGCGGCCTACGCAAGATTCTGTTTCGTTTGATGCACTGTTCCGTATGAAACCTGTCGACTAGATCACATAGAAACCAATTGCTTGCAAGCGACAGAAAATCGAGCTCATTTCTTATTAGTAATAATATTAATCGCGTTCTTCTGTCTCGTCCTCCCCTCTTTATACCGATGGTTGTATCACGACGAAACTTGTCGTCGATAAACTTAAATGGTGTAACTTGTGTTTACGATTGCTATATGATGGAGCACCCATCACTCACAGATCCTTACTACCCAGCAATCATTGACACTGGAAGGATGTCTCATGCACATGTTAATCATGGGTTGTCGTAACTTTTTCTCTTTACTTTACTATTTTTACGTGTTTTTTTTTAAGTTAAGTCTTGTTTTATGCAAGACATTGTTTCAAATCTCGAACGTTAAACGCTAAATAAACTTGTTTTTAAATCCGAAAGCATTTCACTCTACCACCTCCTTCCTATCTCGGGATCTTCAAAGTTGTTTCGAGATTAAGATTTTGTCCCTTCCAATTTCTCTTTACACAGAGCCAATCGCAGTGTTTTGCCTTCAAATTCACGAAGGGACACAAGATCGCATCATTCCAACAACTATCGTGAGAATTTAATTTGATCGCGTCAACATGCCTGGACGCGTCAGCGAGCACCATCAAGAGGAGGTGCGCACGATAAAAACTGTTTGAGTCTTAAAGTAATCAATTTAATTCTCGATTTGGTTATGTAGCTTAGCAAATTTCTTAAATTTTTCCGCTCACGTCTTAAAACGCATTTAGAAAATGTTGAAGCGGATTTTGAAGACACGCGCTCAGATCGTTTGACATCTGAAGAAGTTTACAGTCAAAAAGAGATTCAAGAAATTATCAAATCGTTATGCTACGCTGTTCAGGTATTGATTGAACAGAACAATGAAGTGAACAATTTTGAATTACAGACTGACATTGTTCCTATCGTAGGCCAATATTCGCAGCGAATTACAAGATACGATCAATATGATGGCGTTATTGTTACGTCAGATTTTCATTGAGGCAGAAGATAGTGTATGTGAAATCTGCACGTCGTAAGAAAATGAGATCTGAATGTCATTTTATTTGACAGAATCTGGTGCTTGGACTCGATATTGCATTGGTAGAAGATAAGGAGCTACTCGAGCGTGTGGAGAAGCTTAGTGTCTCAGAGTGGACAAGTGGAGACTTGAGTAGTGTCGGAGCGTTATCAAAAGCAAAAGTGCCTGTCCATAGTGACGTAACAGCAAAACTGGAAAGAAAGCTACAACTCGAAATGGAGCAACACGAAAGTGAAATTCGTGCCGCAAAAGTAACTTCTAAGCAGCAAAAAGAGGCGCTGGAAGCCATACATGCAAAGGAAGTGCGTAAGTTGCAGCGGAAACTTGAACAAGCAAACAATCATGTGCAAGATCTAGAGAAAGAAGTTGAAAGTAGTCGACATCACATCGCACAGACGACGCAGTTCCAGACTATGAAGCGCATGGTGACTACCAAGAATCAACAGCTTCAGGATTTGAGACGTAGACTGCAGCGTTACGAGCCGGACTATGCAGAGGATGATGGTGAGACTAAAAATGCTGACGATGAATAAATCCTGAGATGGAGCGCACAAGCGTATATCCTGACTACCTTCATCTCTGTATTAAAATCATCAATACAAACGCTAAGTCATGTGTTCCTTTTCAAAGCAAATCCGTTTTAATTCACCACTCAAGCCATCAAAGCCCAGCAAGTAATGCTATTATCAATACGATGCCAAAGGTCCACATAGGTCCATCCATCGATAAAAATCCACTTGAGTAAGTAACATGCTTACAGACCAAGTTTGGTGCGACGCCAGTGACGACGCTTGGCGTTGTACTTGATAGTGTTATCCGTACGTAGACGAATCCACTGAGGAATTGGACGATTTTGTTTAGCCTTCTTAGCGAGAATGCGCTTAGTACGGAACGTCTTATGCGATGGCTAAGATCATAACAAAGAGAATATGACACATTAGGCTCTTAAACGAGATACAATGCAAATAAATTCAAACAAACTATTCAAGCATTGAAATACACTTCAAGTAGTCATGCAATTTCTTTGCTTAAAGGCTTTGAAGATGCCTGGAAACGTATGTAAACGCACCATTTTGGAAGGAAGTTGTTCGGATAAATGTGTTTGAGCTACTTTAGTGTAGAGCTCCCAGCCAGCCAATTTATCAGATAGCGTAATTATATACTCGTAAAAGAGTTTTTACCTAGTTGATGTACTCCACACGATTTTTCTATAGTACTTGAAACATTAATTCTCCTCTTCACATCTTGACGGGACTAATAATGAACCCATCGCCTTTCACGGGGTGTCTAGTGACATTTACTTGAAGTTTGTATTGCAAGAATCCATTTGCTATATGTGAGTCATTCTCCATTCAAATCAAATGGAAGAGGATACAATCTCCTCAAAGCCACCAGAACATAGTACAAACGAATTTGGCATAACTTCGGGTACCTCTGCATTCTCCGTCTCACCATCTTCATCTCCCCAATCTACGCAAATTCTACAACGCTCAGTTGGAGATACAAATGCTTCTACCTTTTCCGTATCGCCATCACCTCTTTCGTCGCCATTGCATTCAACTATACGTCCATTAGTCAATACGACGACTACATTGCCACCAATTGAACCATCTTCTGACTCAGAATCACCGTTAAAATCGGCTTTACGCAACTTCACAAGCTCTTCAAAGCCTCAGCTCTCTCGTAGAGTCTCAATTGAGGAATCAAATGATTTTCAATATCAAGACCGAACTAGTACAATGAATCAATCAACAACTTCTGAGTCTTCCGATCCAGGATTAATTGACTCTGGCGTCAGCACAAGATTTAGCACAAGATTTCGACGGAAGCCAACGAAAAGCAAAACTTCCCACCGTCAATCTTTCTATATGCGGGACTCAGTTATATCGAAAATGTCGTCTAATGTGGGTAATTTACGCGATAGTTTTCTAGGGGTTATTGGTCGCAGCACTACAGTGCATGATCCGTTGGAATTGTCCCCAAATCAGGAGTTTGACTTGGCTGTGATTGATGAAATTGGTGAGTTAGACGATGATATTGGACATATATTTAAACCGCACGTGGAATGTAGTAAGTGGTCTCGAGATGGCTACATTGTATTTTCTTTTGGACTTGGATTACTATTGATAATGATCATCTTGGCGATGTCAATAAATACACTAGAAGGCTATATTATTGATCCTGGACTTGTATTTGGATCTTTATTGACGCTCATTCTCTGTGTCTGTGTCTTTGTGACGTACCATGGAGTCCAAAGTTATCAAAAACATCCAAATCCGTTGATTTACTACAAGTGCGTGATCGATATTTGCTTGGCATTGCGATTCTTAATGGATCCTTTACTACTCGACCTCGGTGCTTACAAAGCCTATGACGAAGCTTCGTGTACGTATCTTTCGGGCTTGACCCAGTTCTTGTATCTTTCGAGTGATTGCTGGTATTTTGCAGTCATTGTTGATCTCTATTGGTCTCTCACAAATCCATTTATGAGTGTCAAAGCTAATCGAAGACGCTTTAAAATTATTGTTTACACAGCTGGTGTATCGACAGGTCTATTTGCTGCCTTAGTTCCAGGTGTTCATGGTTTAGCTGATGGAAATTATTGTTGGACAAAGCGAAAAACAACGAGTGATCCAATCGAACGCGACTTCTTCCGTCTTAATCGAGGCAGTTGGATCCTTTTTTATATGTGGATGATTCTGTTTTATCTTTCTGGAATTGCTGTGTTAATTTTTGGTATTAAACGACTTCGATCGGGATTACGAGATACGCTTCAAAGTCGTCGAGAAATGCTACGAAATGGATCATTATCAATCATGAGTTATACAATTTATTGGACAATTGTCTTCTTATGGTATGCTCTGTCTTTCCATACACGTACGACATATGACAAAGATGGAAATCTTCCACCAAGTCTTGTATTTCGAGCATTCACATTTACTCTCTCGGCACGTGGTGTAGTTGACTATTTGGTCTGGTTTACAATTAATACTCCAAGTGTCATCTATCCAAATTGGCTTAAATTCTCATCTGATTCAGCAGATAAACAATTTAGTGCACAACTTAATACTGCATTACAAGAAGAACTCATTTACTTTACTATTGAAGGCATGACACGTGCTATTCAAAGTGCAGAAGAAGATCTATTACGACTTCAAGGTCAAAAATTAACACAAGAACTCTTGCATACAAGTGAGAATGAAAGTGATAGTACATCATCATCATTTGGAGAAGCTGCAACGCGAGCTACAGGAGCTGCTGGATGTGATATTACTAATAAGGTGGTACAAAATATTCAACGTAATCGGATCCTTACTACAATTACTGAAGCTATTAAAGCGAGCCGACATCGTCACAGCAGTACTGAGACCGAATCTCGAAGTCTTCGAACTCGAAATAGTCCCGAATCTAATGTAAGTTTTGATATTCCTCAAGAGCAACGATCAAGACATCAACAAACAATGGATCGACGCCATAATCCGTCATCTGCGTCAACTGTTGCAACTTCAAATGGTCATCCAGCGCCAATTCTTGCATCAAAAAATACAGGGACCACTGCATCAATTCGATTTACACCGTATAAACCAGAAGCTTTTGCAAAGTTACGCCAAGCATTTGAGATCAAAGCCTCCGATTTTATTAAATCGTTTCAAACAAGTACAAAACCAAACATTAGTGAAGGTGCAAGTGGTGCTTTTATGTTTTTTAGTGGGGACAAAAAGTATATTGTCAAGTCCATGGCTGAGGAAGAAGCTCGTTTTTTGTGTGAAATTGCTGACAAGTATACCGATTACTTCATTTTGAATCGAAGGTCGTTGATTACCAAGTTTTACGGTTGTTTTAAGATTACAATGTACGATCGACGATTCTATTTTATTGTAATGGAAAATCTCTTTGATGTCATGGCAGAAGGTGTTCAGATTCACCATCGATTTGATATTAAAGGATCATGGGTCAATCGTAGTTATAGACGTCCACGTCGTGGAGCAAAAGTCAAGTGTCGACACTGCTCTATGATGTTTCGATATGGGGCACAGAAAAAATTGTTACATTGTCCAAATGTTGTGGGACTGCATGAACCAAATGTTGTATTAAAAGACAATGATTTACGAACAAGAATGCGCATTGGTACGGATGAAGGTGTACGATTGTTTGAACAATTGCGTAATGATTCCTTGTTTCTTCGTGATCTTGGAATTATGGATTATAGTTTGCTCTTAGGTGTCATGGATATCGAATTTATTGTGGATCAAACGACAAAATCGTTGGAAAATTCCATGATTAGTGAACGCACAGCTGTAAATACAGCAACAAATCGAGCTAGTCAACCACTTACGGAATTTTCGAGCAATGACAGTTTTGTTTCTGGAATCTCGTCATCGACTGACTGTTCTTCATTAATGGATCAGGATATACGAGAGGAAGGGGTCCCAAATTCTAAAAGGTCTCATCTTTCACTTGATATTGCACCAAGTGTCCATTCACTTTTTCATCAACCAGACGATCCACTAAACATGTCACGATATCCATTTACTGGTAGTGAACCACGATCGAAAAGCTCAATGCGTAAAAGTACACGAGTGTTTGGTCCTGGATATTATTATGTCGGTATTATTGATATTCTTCAAACTTGGACATTGCAAAAACGTTTTGAGCGATTCTGGAAAGTAGATATTCAACAGAAAGATGGCGATGGATTGTCTGCAATTGATCCTGTACGATATCAACGACGATTTGAGTCGAAATTACGTGAAATCATATCAATTCCAAAGGAATACTTCCATCGTCAACGCAACCAACAAGCAGTAAGTACAATGTTTCAATCTGTACAACGTCTCAGTCCAGTATTGCAAGCTGCAACTGCATTCGAAGATGCAGGAGTTGCTGTGGAAGTTCGACGTGAATTGGCTCGTACTCGAAATGATTCGACTGATACAACTACGTCCGGTAATGCAGCAGATGATGGAGATCTGGAACAAGCAGGTCGAAATCCTTTACCAATTTTATTGCCATTCAATCAACGACTTATTTCAAGAGGTTCAACACGCAGTCAATTGAGCTTGACTGATTTTGTTGTTTGATAGTCGTGTAAGATGGTAAGAAAGAGAAACGAAGAAGGAGATTTAGTTGTAGATGCATGAGTGATAGATACATGTAGAGAGTGGGTAAATCATACAATATATTGACAATAACCAGTTTTCAATTTATTGGTAACTTTATTTTATTTCGTGTAATCGTAAAAACTTTCCATGTCTTGCTCGCGTCATCTGTACATATATCTTCATTTCATTATGGTTCAAAATCCGAACAATGGGGAAAGGCGCGAAGGTCTGGAAAAGCGAGGACTTTGCTATTAACAACGTAAAGCCAGCAAGTACGATGCCAACGGACGATCGCAACGCTGACGTCAGTTTATTGATCTACCACGAGGAAAATCAAACGACATCAAGTGTAAGTCGAATTGACAACTTTTCACAGGTGCCACAGCGTCCACGAGGATTGAGTGCATCAATTGTGTCAATCAAAACAGTGAGTGAATCTCCGACAGATCGTCGTATTCATTTACTTGGTCGTCAGAATTCTATGCCTGTTATGTCGATCAAGTCTCAACGTCGACGAAAAGTTACGTTTAAAAATATTGATATTGTGCCTCCACCAAAAGTCGTAAGTTACGACGAACTTGTATTTAATGTCGCTGGACTCTTTCATACTATGTCATTCCTTCACGACCGTGAAGATTGGGGTGATGATCCTGCTGATTGTGGATTAAAAGCTGCATTTTACGAACCTGAGCCATTGCTTGAACGATCAGTACCATTAATGATTGCTGAATTTCTTTATCGGTCCGCAATTTATTTGGGTTATCCACAAGGTGATACTCCATGGCTTCCAGGTTTTCGAGAAGAAAAAAAGTTTTCAGGAAATGACGTAAAACGATGGCGACGACTAGCTCACTTTGATTGGGAAGCTGAAGAACGGGAGTTTTCAAAGAATCATCGAAAAGCGCCACCACTTACGTCGTTACAAGCACGAACTGATCGTTCGGAATCGATTGAATCAAATGGTAATACATCCGTCATGTCGACAATTGGGACGAGTTTTCGTATACGTTCTGATGAAAGTGTCGATTCTGTATCATCAAAGTCGAGACAACAAAGTCCAGAGTATCAGAAGAGTGGAAAAAGTAAATTACACATTCCAAATTGGTTCCGAAAACATCGACGTCCACAGTGCGAAGAAAGCGACGACTTGAGTGACTCAAGTGAAAGTGGTAAACGCAAACCAGTGTCGTGGCTTAATCCACCGCCAATTCCGTTGTCAAGAGATTTGAAGCTTCTTGTTGATATTGTCAACTCTTGCGTATATTGTGGACAATATCAATTTCGAAAACGTGATATTGTACGACTTTGTAATGTCAAAATCTAGACTTTATTGCACTTTATAAATAACAACGTCAAACTATTGTAAATAAATAGTTAACCCAATTTATTGTGTTCAAACTTCCTTTTCTGACCAAATAATAACTACAATTTTTAATTTGAATTTTAAATCCAACCATCTTCCTCAACTATAAACTTGAGACGAACTAAGTCACTTATCTCCTCTGGTTTATACAGCATTTGACCAAAGTTAATACAACAATTGATCACTGCACACAACTGATCAAACTTTGCATTCGATGGTACATCCAAGTCTCCATCTTCTTCTTTCTCTGGTTCATTCTCAGCCACACATTCGCTTAATGACTGTAACCTTCGTCTTGTGTTTGACATAGATTGACTGTCACTATCGCTATCTGTTCCCTCTGTAGCTAATGAACTTGTGCGTGATGACTGTGCACTCACGTCTTTGCCCTTGACTCCTAAAGCCGCAGCTGCTTGAGCAGTCGTCACTTCTTCAAGTGTCCAATCATGAAGTGCCAATCGTCGCCACATTCGAATCTCTTCATTTGAGATATTCACCACATTACCATGTTTTGTACGTGTACCATGAAGAAATGCCAACGAACGTTCAAGAAATTCTTGTACTTTTGTACTTGTTGGTCGTTGATCATGAGATGCAAATTTACATACTCGCACAAGTACATCGTCATAACTTTCCAAAACTGTATACGCTGCTGGTCCATAATTTGGATCAGTCACAATAATTGTCGGTGTTCCACCAAATCGTAATCTTTTCGTTACACCAGGTGATAAAATATCTGTTACCGTATGAGAGGCTGATACTTTTCGACCAAAACTTGATCGACGTTGTAACTCGAGAGCTTTTGCTTTATCAGCTGCAAGAGCAAACTTTCGTGCTTCGGAACTACGTGAGAAACTTGTACGATCCTTTTGAAGATCCAAATCAATACTTCCTCGTCCTCCTATTAAACGTGCTTGAATCGGTAATTTACGCCAAAGTTTCGCAATTAAATGAGTCGGTGCTTGTTCCATAAAATCCATACTTTGAGATCGTCGATCAAGTCTTGTTGGTCGTTTCGTATTTTCGTACTCGTCTTCACTATCGGAATTCCACGTTGACGATTGGACTTGTGTTGCTTCTTGTTCTTGAACACATTCAGTTTGAACTTTTTCTTTTTCTTTTTTTTTTCGCATAGAAGACGAAAACGAAAGAGATAAACCACGTGTTTTTCGTACCCTCATCTTCTTATCTGTTGATTCAGGCGAATCAAGTGTAGGATCTGTAGACAATGGAGAACTTGAGGATGTCGAACATGTTGAATTATTGACACTTGAAGCTGTTAGATCTGAAAATGCTGTTGAGCTTGATTGATATGAACTTGGAGCTGTCTTGACCGTGTGAAAACTAATCAAACTGTGATTGGTTCCTCCGATCGCTGATTTTTCGAGATTTGGACAATGACGAAGTGGCATATTGCCAGCGTTGCCAAGTGTCCGGTTGCTAAAAGAAGGTGGAAATTCCCCCCCAGCACTTATACTTCGACCTCCCAATTTTGGTGGATCAACAGTCACAGTAGATACCCCAGACTGCGGCATTGTAACCTCTTTTGTTGTCTTGTGACTGTTGCGTTGTGGCACCATATATTTGCTATTTCGATTGCCACTAAAAAGTGGCGATGATTGAAAAGCATTTGTGATCGTTTGTGTGAGTGAATTCCGTTCCATATTATCTGAGGTCTTTTTTGCTTTCGGTGTCGCTGCTGTTGCACCATACGGGAGGGACATGACCACAGGCGTTGGTTCGGATGATGCACAATGTTTGTCTTTCCAACTAGTAAATGAGAAACTTGACGGTCGAGTCTTTCGTTTTGTTGTCTTTTCACAAGCAATAGCTTGTGCTTCTGTTGAGAACTCGGACTCGAGACCTGTACCACTCATTCGAAAACTATTACTACGATGCGAACCTGGAAAGATCTTCTTCATGCCTGAATAAACGTCTTTAACCTGTTGAGACATTCTATGGGTTTTATGACTCGATCAAAGAGGACAAGAAGAACAAGTCGCCAGGTTTCCCACTTTTCAATTATGAGCTGCAGGAAGGTTCTTTGGACCAAAAAAAAAGGGACATTACGAAACGCTGGGACATTGGGTAAGGCCAGAAGTTTAACATAAAAAACGAATCAAGTTCTTTACTTGAGTATTTTAAATTACCCCTATCCCACTGCAAAAATCAGGATCAGTATGTCGTGCCTTTTCTGTCTTTCAGAAAACATGTTCCTTTCGTAGTCTTCCGCTCTCTTTTAGTTGATAGAAGAAGATTAAAAGTCAATGTCTAATCGCGACGGTACATGTCGAAGACTAATTTTTGGCGTCGCTTCATTTTTGGTAGAAAAACACCTTTTTTTAAACAGAAGATGGACGCAGTAGAGTATGTACAGTACAAATTGATGGGGACTCGGACATAATTGCAGATGCTTTTAAAATGGGACAGAAACGAGATCCACACATCATGAAACTGCAACAAAAGTTTGCCATAATACAATGTCTGGCACTTTTTTTCTTAAGAAAAATAGTAATAGAGTAAAAAATTGGGTACCTATCCTAACTCGCAAGCTTGAAGCGTTGCACACCGAATCAAATGGCTCCGTTTCGTCGTTTATCGTTTAGTGTCGCACATACATATTGCAATGCTTTTTTGATCAAATCATTTAGTGATGGAAAGAATTTATCAAATGGGTTCATTGTCACTGTCACTCAAATGAAAAACCTCGAAAATAAGAAAAATCTAACTTGATATCAAAATCACCTTTTTTCCGAATTAGGTAAAATTCGCAATGAAAAGAGAAATATCTTACTTTACCAAAACTTCAAATGAAAAATTTGGTTTACGTCTTTTTGTTATTGAATCCGGTAAAAGTAACTAGCTATAAATCAGCATAGAAACTTAATATAAATTGATCATGTAGATTAGAATCGAGACCAAAATTATGACCGACATCTTGCAGTATGATGCTCTTTGAAGTCATCAAGACGTCAGTTGAAAGCGCAATGAAAATTTCATTTGTTCTGATTTTCCATTTAACGTGTAGACGAATAATCAAACCTTTACGGCTTCAAAACAATTGAAGCACATGTCATGTACGTCATCACTTTGATCAAATTTGAATTCCGATTTGATATTCGGTTTCGTCGTGGGTTCTTAGTGAAAGCTTTCGGCAGCTATTCAGCCAGCTGCGTATATAGGTATAACACGAACAGACTTGTGTATATCCATTGCGAATATTTGCGCTTAAAAAAAGTTAGACGTCCATCCTCTCGTACAAGACTGACAATGGGCTTATTTTTGAACGTGATAGAGACACTTTTTTAAGATAGGCAGCTTCCTGCCGTGCAGTTTCTATCCTTTCGATCCAAAGTTTAACCCTGCACCCTTCACAAAGCCCAGTAATGGCTGGATTCTTCAGCTTATATGATCATAAGATGTGTTAACCACTGGAGTTTGGGCAACTGATACGATTAAGAATTGTCTTCAGTGTCGCGACGAATAGGCAGAGCGGAGATTTTCAGATCTATTTAAATACATTTTATCGTCTCTTTAACGTGAAAGAACGAGGGCCAGTTGTTGTATAAACGGGAATCTGATTTCACCGATACACCAATAAAAAATCTCGCTATTGTGTTCGCCCTTAAAGCATGTCGACTAATGTCAATCACTTTTAAATAAATGTAGCCAGACATTGAGTTGTAGTGTCTTGTCTGTTTCTATATCAATTCAGCTTAGCGTTTTGATTGAAAAATTGATTGGTCGTAGACGTGTAGGTACATCTGGCTATATATTTCAGCTACCGATGGTCAGATAAAGAAAGATCATCAGATATGGGGGACTCTTAGCTAATTTAATTCTGATATCAACTTTATCGAAACGACATTTTGGATTTCAACATGTGCAAAAGGCTATCGGGCATTTTGCACAGAGAAGGCTCTGACCTAAAGAGTATGTGATAAAACACACATGGGCTGAGTTCGTACTTCAATTAGAAGCAAAACCAAGAGTCCCTTAAGTAACTAAGTACTTTTCTCGCTTTATTTTCAGCTGCGAAACATATTTAAACTGGTACTAAATCTGTCTGGAGTATGCTTGATATCAAAAGTTCAAGTGCTGCTCCAACGGCTCACGTATCCCACGAACATCTCCTTTACGGAGCCTCATCGGTATCAGTCCTTTGGCAAATCCGATCTTTATATGTGTTTACACCGCTAGATGTTTCGTACCCACATACACCCTTCCACCTGGATGTGGATCATATTAAGGCATACACTTGATTTATGTTGATGAGACAATGCGAAAAAGCGAGCTCTGGACGAGGCTTACTGCGCTTAGAGTTTGTCCTCTCCGATTGCATCCTAAATTGGCTGCATCTTTGAGCCTCTCCCGCATCAGAAGTTCTCTTCCGAGCAAGCCCACGCGACTCAATGAACCCTGAAAATGGCGCACCCCTCATTACTGACAGCCTCAGAGCCAGGATAGTTCCGACAAAAACGATCCGAGTGACTTTCCGAGTCTTGACCTAGCGCCTTCGTTCTCACCGAAAGACATGCGGTAGAGCCTTTCGGGAAAAAATAGCGCCCCTCAAATACTTTCCTCCTTTGCCCGGATCGCGTGCACCGTGTCTGTTTCCTCGAAGAAAATTGTCACAATCCCGCCGCAGAGCTTACGACCACGTCCTGTCTAATACACATAAGCTGGACCTGGTTCAGCCAGCCGAGCTCACAACAACTCTGCAGACCTCATCACGTCGTGATCATTGAGTTAAATAAACACCAACTACTCGTCATGCCATGATAAAGCCCTATAACACCTATGCATGCGGATCATCGTTTGAATAAAGATGAGAGCAAGCCTAAATCCAGAAATAATGTATGCTGCTGGAGTGACAGAGGCTTCGTGAAATAATTTCTTTCATGAGAGCGTACATCGGGTACTGAGCGCTGGCAAGATTGCCAAAGAAGATCGCACTCAAGTCCTGCATTGGGTGAGGAAACGAAATTATTCTCGCTTGTGTCACGCTGTGCAAGGCGTTGATATGCCCGGATAGATTGTCGCTTAATGCATAACTTTGCGGGGTAAAATAATTACGTAGATTTAATTTCAAATCATCACCGCCAATTCTTTCCGTCAAAAGTTTTGCTCGGCTCCGTACGACAGATGCTACACATGCCACGAGGTCGGTCCTCACTCACTGGTGGGAAGCGCGCACTGTGGTGGGCGATCCAGTCCATTCACAAGGCTGATAAAATCAATTCTGCGTACGTGAAACCCGAAACTACCATTCGTTTTGGGGTTGTATCCTTTTCCTTTCAGCAGATACCAATTTCAGCCTGGTGAGTCCTCCGGTATGCTCGTGAAAGTAAGCAAACCATTGTTTTTATAATGTGGAAGAGCGGGTTTGGATCTCGTGAGCTCTCGCAAAAAAAGTCGACATCCCAATATGGCGAGATGTCGAGTCTCTTTGAAAGGCAAGATGTTTCACCGATGCGAGATGAGCCCCTCTTAGATACACTCACAGATCTTTGCAATCGTACGTCGTACCGCAGGAATTTCACACACTGTTTTGCTGCTGTAAAGCTATTGATCGCTCGTGGCTGAGTGGATGCATCGTCTTCACATAGTGCTTCAGCTCAGAATGACTGTAAGAGCGGGGTCCTGGGTACACATAGAACACAGAAATGTGTTCGCATTTTCTTCGGTGATATTGATATTGTAGCTCGTCTCAATCTGGCTACAATCGTAACATACCGATAGAGCGATTTCACAACATGGTCATATTGAAAGTTTAGCATCATTCAATACAATGCTTTCATGCATAAATATTTGCATGTGTTCTGTCTTTCTCTGATACCAGCATACTCTAACGGTTCTACGTCTTGGCGTCGCACACTCGGCGCACGACGAGATACTTTGTCGAACAGAATTCATTATTCTCATTGATTTATCGAGGGATGACTTCTACCAGTTGAATTGGATCGACGGCCTCAGTGAACGAGACCGGAGTCACTACAAGACGGTTAAAAAAGCGCGAACTCTTACAGAACAATTTGTATCAAATGGGGATAACTCTGTAAGGGTATGTACAGCGTTAGTCATCGAAAGTTTGTGAAATGGTTTTTTTGCTCTTGTATCGTGGTCTTGTTGTGCTAGTGCTTCGGAGGATTCTTCTCACCGCGCGATCAATGCGATCTGTTGCATATTCTGTTTGCAGATGGTCGGTAGTGGACATGCTTTATTTGGTGTTCAGCAAATTAAACAAAGCTTGCCAAAATATCGCTATAAGCGTGGATCTCGATCCTAATCAACGGAGATCGGCAAGTCATATTGGCTGCAAACATTGTCAAGAATCCTGGCTGTTTCCTTATGGGAGAAGGTGTCACCACAAGCAGCCAGATTAAGCATTTTTCTGAGATGGTCCATAATGTCGGTTTTGCCGGACAATTTTGTACTATTCATGCTTATGGACTCCCAATATTTTGCCGGAACTGTAGACTGGTCAATTGCTAATAGTCGTGGCGAGGGTTTAGTTGCCGACACGGACCACACGTGTGCACATAACTTTCTACCCACTGAGTGAGACTATCTCATCAGTACATAGCGCTCTCCGAGCAGTATGGGCTTTCTCTTCCAGGGTGGCCAGCCACCCGGCGGGTATCATGTGCTCTCTGAGTTTTATATAGGTCAGTGCTGTTATACAGTCAGCCTTGCAATAGTGCATAGCGGTGCAGGCGTGCAGCCGCACACTTTAGTAGAACGACTTCTGGGCTCCCAAACTCCCTGATTTTCAAAGCTCTCAGCAGCGCACCACTTGTTGCGTCTGACATGTACCCTGTACGTATCGCCTCGTCAATTGGCATATCGCCAAAGTGACATGCGACAAGTCACATTTGGTGCGGTGCAAAAGTGCGTTCGCTACCATTGAGCCTTACCAGCGTATATCTTTGCTTTGGGAGACATTGAGCGAAACAGGATCCCCGTCATCTCATTTCCTGTGAAGAATGTGATGACGTCGTCGCTGTATATGATTTGTATAGATCACATACGGCTTAGGGCCGCGCAAACGTGCTCTGAACTTTACTAAAGCATATTTAATTAAGGCATCTCCTTGTCTTGGATAGGTTGGGTCTTTCTGCCGCTTGAAGCTGTCGAGATATAGACGCAGTGAAGCATGAACGTCCGTCTGAACTCGTTGAAAGCCAGACAGAGCCTGCATCAAGATTCAAAACGCTACGGAGGACATGAATTGGCTGGCCCAGATTCGAGGAAAGGTCAGAATTGAGGCACACACGAGATCATTTTCACAGTCTTGAAACATCTTTCTACCGCCAAAACCTAGCACAAAAATATAGCATTGGCTTTAGGATAGTAATGGGGCGCGGGCCATGCCCGCGCTCTTTGTGCTTAATTTGTGCATAGAGTGGGCTATGACGAGCCACTTTGATCAGCCCTTTTGAGATAATAAGCAGTAGCATCGGATCGGAGCATGCATCTCAATGATACATCGCGGAAAAAGGGTGGTATCGATACCATATCAAAAAAATTTCATCATAGCTTATTTAAGGCATACACTCGAGCACTATTCGCAAGTGTTTATTGCGAATGTTCACACCAGACAGGTCATTCTATACATGAATTTGACAAATGCATCGCCCAAATAGATCTGTGTGTAATCACGACACAATTTAAATAGCTTGGAGTATGAGAGGAATATCACGGTCTCTCATGAGCAGATAATTATACCCATCAACCAGATCGGAAAGAGCGAAAAAGGCACAGCCGACCATAGTGTTCGGCTGCACGTCCTTTCAGCATTCGGGAATTTTGCAGGAATGGTGGCTGCGTATATCGTTTTGCAAGCTCGTTAAAAAAATATTTAGCATCGAGTGGAGAGGTTTCTCTGTCTCAACAATGCCGTTTTGTGCTTCGTCCCCATATTTTCACGTGAACAAGCTTTAACAAACCTTGAGAATATTACCTAGATACCATCTAGGTTTTAAAGCTTGTTTACGTGGAGATATGGAGAGACTTTAGCCTGTAGGACTGCCTCTGTCACGTCATTCAGGAGTGAAAAGGCTTTCTCTTTTAGAGTTTACTGGACAAATCATACGGTTTGTCGAGTCAGAGGAGGAGCCATTACATCATGTCAAGGATCTACCGTCCATAATAACATCAAAGCTTGGCCCTTCGAATCGTGACTTACATTCGCCAAATCCAATACCGTGCATAAAGCCGCTCTGGCTTGTCTTCTCGACATTTAACCTGGAAAATCGCCACACAGAGTCACTTTATCTGCGATCATATCTCACAGATCTATTTATCCGCCTTCAAAGAGAATCAGCCTTAAAATTAAAGTGACTGCCACTTCTTCCTAGCTCGAAGCACTTTGCGCTGTTATTGCTAACGATTGCGAGCAATCCCATAGCCTTCACCAAAGCTATCTCATTTTCCCGCGTCAAAATTGCCCCAGAATAGAACAAATTTTCTGAACAGTGCAATCTGAATCAAAGCTCAAGTAAAGAAGTACAAGAAGCCCTTGACACGTGATAAACTTTGTAGCAAAGGTGAGTGCATGACTTACCAAAGAACCAGAAGGTGAGAAGTGCGTGGCATTCGATGCTTTCGACTGATAGTCGATTTGTGGATTATAGAGTACAAGTCAGATTACACCTAGAAAGAGATCGTATCTCAGATGCAGATCTAGGATCAGAAATGTAAAACGCAATTTAATTCATCAGAATTTACATAAAGGCTGGCATTTTTGCGCGAAACAATGGCTGGCATTTTTACCAGTGTCTTATTGCAAGACACAAACATCGTTCCCGTTTTTGGCATCCTAAATGCCTCGACTGTTTTTGACGGTCACACGATGAACGTAAAAATTGCTCGATGATCCTATTTCTGGTAGGACTTCAGACGACCAACACGTTGATGACGATACTGACAGCCCACCAGTCCAAGGGAAAGCTGCTCTCTTCTACCTCCACTACGCACTAGAGAATTCAGCGTTTATAGTAAGTAGAAGTCGGTCTAGCGGGTCTTAAAGTTGTCCCTCGAGGGGATTCGTAGGTGGTAGCTCAGCCCTTCGTGCCTTCCAACTGGGATAGAACAAAACTCGCATGACGCATAATTTTGGCACTGTCAATAATGTTACAATTTTGTGTATCACAATTCCGTTCGTTGCTAAGAGACGAACATTTTACACCTCGTCTTAACTGATGCTCATAGCATTTGGCACACTTATAGAGCTTTGACCTATCTCACTTTGAACGGCCCTCGACAGAAACAGATCGAGAACAAAAGGTCGTAATGCGAGCCGCATCAATATAACTAAGATAATAGCTGCGGATATCGCGCAATTTTGACCACAAAAGATCAAATTCTTCGACATAGGCCGCTAACATTGACGGGCAACGATAAATGATTCGTTATACTACGCCGGGTTAGGCGGTGCGAGCACCCGCGGGATTTGTCGCGTAACATATTGGAAGTCCATATCGACTGAGGCACCGCAAGTAAGTATCATTCTCACGCGCAACTCTCTTTGAGACCGGCACTGTTGTTTCGTTGTGACGAGTCAATCGCCATCTTAATTCCTACCCCTTCTCCACCCTGATAGAGCTTGATCTTGACAAAGGCAAACTTACCGTGGCTGTGGTTGTCGATTTTACTTTATAGACGTCTTTGTGGAGGGTGAGTCACTAGCGCAAATAAATAGCTGGTGAACGCGTTCAGTTAAACAAAAAGTAAAGCTAAGCCTTGTGTCGCAATTTGAACGTTACACTCAAAACCAGCCAAACACATAAGCTTGTTGAACTTGTCTTGTCTCGGGGTAAATACGTGAACAATAACAAAGCGTTCTCATGTATGAGACAGCCTTCATCAGACTTGGGCATCGAATTGTCAACAGCAAATCGCCATGAGCTTCTTCCCTCTTCGAGTCCGCGCTTAACAACAACCACATGGTGCACTTGTCTACTCACGCAGGTGCCTAATGGGGCTGCTCAGGAGTAATGAAGACCTCACTTGCTATGTGTCAAGCTTACCACATTTAGAATGAAGTCGATTATAAATAGTACTATACGTCTACAATAATAGAAATTATATTAATGCATAGCTGACTACGTTCATTTCCATTACGAAGTCCCATACGTATCATCCGTTATAATTCCAATGTATTTCTGAGCTGCGCTCTAAGTCCAAGAGACTATTGTGTCATGCGTACCAGGGGTGAATATTTGTTGATGATAAACGCATACATATATCACCTGAACTAACGAAATCCCGAATCATGCATAAGTAATCCGTTTTGGATCACCTTCACTCTAATATCATACCTACATGGATCTCGGCCAAACATCGTCATATGTGCAAGTGACAATAGTAAAAACTTCGATCATTGGCAACTTGGTGATCCCGAGGAAATCATTCCAAATTACAACATCTAGCTAAACGACCGAAAAGGAACTATTACTTTCGATGCAAAGTCAATCTTAGTAACCAGGAGATGTGTGTTCCGCATATCGCACCTATTGTTAAGTTCGCAAGAGAAATTGTTGCTTTCCAAACGGGATTTTTTTGTTTACGTAAATAACTTTATTTATAACTTGATAATTAAAGTTCTTCTCAGAAATTTACACGTTAAAAAGTCCGTCCGGAAATAATGCATGAAGGCACAAGTCATGGGCGTCAAACGCTAGACTCGCTGTACCCACAAGCTCGTAAACTACAATTCGAATTGAAAATGCAAATGAGTTATCTTGATTCAGGACGTACAGGAGGCAAGACAGATGCTGAGGTTCAGGCTGAAGCGCGGGGAAACTTTAGTGCATTAGAGCAACTTCTTTGGCAATTAGATTCACTTGTACAGATGAACACAAAATCTGCGGAAAGAGACACGTGGACGAAAAAGTTACAACAGCTGCGAAATGAGACTTTTGCATTGGGCAGTACATTAGAGCAACATATCTACAGTCTCAGTCGCCGCAATGTCGAGGCGCGAGAGCGTGAGAGTCTTATGAACAGACGTAACGCGGTGCGGTGTTCAATTCTTTTGAAAATTTACTTAAGAAATTGCTAACATCAAATTTAAGGGGTTTGACGGTGGTAATGGTGCCATATACGCAGCACAAGAATCCGAGAGTTTGCAGCGGTCATCACAAATGGTCTCGGATCTTACAAATTTATCACAATCCATACTTGGTGATCTAAGTGAACAACGTAATCGTATGAAGGTATGTAAGTGATGGTATCACATAGAGTAATCCGATGTTTTCTATCGATATTTCTTGGTTTCTTGCAGAATGTGCGCACGAAGCTCTTGGATATTGCAAATAGATTAGGACTTTCAAGTTCCTTATTGCGTGTGATTGAGAGAAGAGATACAGTCGACTTTTGGATCGTAATTGGAGGCATGGTCTTCACCTTAGTGTTTCTGTACGTGTGTTACTCGTATGCGACTTAGAGCTTAATACAAGGAAAGATTTGAAACGATGCCGATATCAAGGTTGTCGAAAATAGCATCTTGACCTTCATGATTGACTTATATTGAGCCCTATTCTAAGTCCACAAGACAACTTTATGTCTGTTAGACAACCTGTTAGCCATATTATCAAGACATTATCAATGCTCGTAAATTGCTTAATGTTCTTTGACATACATTTCTAGGTGATCTCGTCATGGATTCAGGACTTTGAAGAAATGTAGAATCGAAATCAAATGCGCTATTTCATTGTCGATAGAAGCCTCATTTGCGAAGTTTGGGAGACTTGAGAGGCTGACGGAAAACATTACTGGACCAAGCTTTACGAGGTGCTCGCCAACGACCCTCTCACAAACGGGTGTGCAAGTGCCTCCTTTACAGAGATACGCTTCATAGGGTCCAGCATAAACATTTTATCCAGCAAGTTGCGTAGCTCCAGAACATGCTTCCGGTCGTCTGTGGTACTCTTTGCAGCCAGTAAATTATTTCCAAGATCATTTTTGATCTTCATTGTGTCCATAAAGCGCAGAAGAGGTTTACCTATAAACATAAATAAACGAGTGCAGTGTTGAAAGTCTAGACGTCAAGTATTCTAGTAAAAAGTCACGACCAACCTGTGATACGATCGCTTTCTCGACTGCAAAATTTGAGATCTTCAGTAAAATGCGGTTCCATCCCAAATTGCTCTATGTAAGCTTGACGATGTTTCTTTATCAACTTGTTCGGAATCTTGCCCTTAAGCTCCATAAAAAATTTGAGCAACTCGTTATTCGTGCTCCCTGGAAACAGAACTTTGCCAGTGAACATCTCGTACAAACAACAACCGACAGACCACATATCTACCGCTTTGTCATAGGTGAGGCCTAACACGATCTCGGGCGCACGATAAAATCGACTAACCAAGTACGGCGTCGGGTCTTGCTTTCCTTCGTCCATCTTGAATGCAGACCCAAAGTCGCATAATTTGATAGTTGTTTGCTTCGCATCGAGCAACATATTGTCTGGTTTAATATCTGAAACCACACCGTTCGTAACCATTAGCTCCTGAATCCGTCTGATCTTACAATAATTCTTACCTGCATGAATAATACAGCACGACTCGAGATGATTCAATGCAATAAGCAAATGCTTACTAAACACACGAACAGCTTGGATTGAAATACCCCCTTTGCCACCAAATTTTTTCATGGCTTCACGAACGTTCATCTCCATTGGCTCAAAAACCAGTGCAACATGGTTCCGATGTGTAAACGAGTCAAATAATTTGATACAATGCTTTTTATCCCCTAGGTCTCGCTCACCTAGTTCCTTGAGTAGCCTTAATTCAGTTTGCGCCGCATCACGCATCACATCATGGTTTCGAATGAGTTTAATTGCAACGACATTAAGCGATGACTTGTTATTTCCAAACTTTAACGGAGTAATACATTGACAGCGTAAAACTGTAGAAAAGACACCTTTTCCCACGACACCAAGCACACGATACTTGCCATCAAGTATCTCACCAATTATTGCGTTATAATACCCTTCAGCATCATCGCAGTTCGACTGAAGAGCCACCTCGTTAACCGTTACAGAAGCAACGTCCTCGCAATTCATACTAACTGCGTGCTCATCCAAAGCTGCCATGGAAAACATGTCAAAATTATCAGTAGCAAAAACACGCTTCACAGGCGACAAAATTGTTTCTTTTGGTGACGCTATTACTTCTGATAGCTGCTCTTTTGATACTTTCACCGGAACTTCCACTTCCTTTGACTCGATCACAACAGAAGTCGTTGGAGTAGTAACAACGGACGAACTTGCTCCATTTTTCTTGATTACTGCAATAGTACTTCTTGCATCTGCAAGTGCTTTAAGAATATCCGCTTTAATCGATTGAACATCAACTGCTGGCTTGGGCGTTGTTGGTTCTGGCTTGATGATAGAAATCGCATCAATCAATTTAACTGCCTGCGTTTCTTCAACATAAGGAGATCCCGAGTTCTTGCTATTCAGTACCGTAGTCTGAGAAACTGTTTGAGTCAACGTCATCTTCTGCTGAGATTCCAATTTATCTATTGAACGTTCCTTATCCGTTGATTTATCATCCATTGATTTATCCTCCGCTTTTTTCGCGTTTTTTCTTACCTCAACGACCTTAGATTTTGATAATTGAGTGGAAGTCAATACAGTGACGTTTTTGTCGTTCTGATGTTTCTCGTCCGCTTTAGATGCTGCTTTGACCTTCAGAGGCGATGAGTGCTTGATTCTCTTTTCATCACTACTGCGGTGATGCTTCTTGTGACGCTCACCAGAGTGCGAGCGACGTTTTCCTTTCTTTTCCTTGCTACTATGACGACGGCGCTTGTGGTGGTCTCTTGAGCGCGACCGTGCACGACGATGACTGTGCCGGTGGCGACTGGAACGTCGCGACCGCTCTCGGCTGTGGCTGCGACTCACACTACGTCGTTTCGAAGAGCGATGATGGGAGGATCGACGAGGGCGAGAATTAGACGTTGAGCGACTACGTGAACGACGAGATCGACGTGCGCGGCGATCATTCGAGCGATCAGAGGCGCGGTGTGAGTCCGCCACCATACTAGTAATTTGAGAATATAGTACTTGAAGGTAGAATTTAATATTTCATCTGAGTATAGTATTACTACTGTTGGCATCACATAATTAGAGAAAACACAAGTGTTGCCGTTCCTTGGGCTCTGAGAGTCCGCGTTACTGAGTTACGTTCGCGCGCTTCTGTCAGGAGAATGACCAAGAACCTTCATGTCAACCAAAACTGTTAGTTTGCTCTGCTATTCAAAAGTATATACAGACTTAGACTAAATGATATGCTTTATCAGATCCCCAAATCAGACTTTTTTATCTTTGAGATGCGGCTAGCAGCCCATATGTGCCGCTGACCCCTCCTTTTCAGAAATTTGTCGTCTCCTCTATACTGATGGTTCGATAATTATGAGTATAATGGGCTGCCTTGAAGCTCACCAGATTAATTTAAGATCGACACCCCCTTTAAGGAGTCGTGTCAGCCATGTCAAGCACGTGCTGTAAGGTTTTATTTATCTCACTCTAACCCCTCTCTACCCGGCCCGGGGATTATACCCTGTTCCGAAGTGAACAGTATTCCACTGCACCACAAGATCGGCTAGCCATGAAGTTCGAAGCTGACGCGTAAGGGTTTGGCACACGAGATTACAGACGTGCCCTGCTAAAAGGTGTTGGTACTAATAAGAAGCACGGAACCCGTGAGGGAAAGGTCCATGAAACACGTGGGCTGTTCCCATCAAGCCATACGCTACGTCGACTCTTATAATTGTACATAATAACACATAGACATGGTGTTGGTTTATATCAGACATAATACTAATTATATGTCGAGCAAAGAAGAAAAATTCTCGAGAAGGTCTTTGTCTGCTGCGTGTGATTTCTCCATCTCTGGGTGAGCTAATGTACACTCTTTAAGTCAAAGCTTTTACTGTGTGAAGCGCACGGCAGCCCGTTGCATTTTTGGCTCCGTAACTGATCCCACGACCGATTTACAATGGTATAAATCTGCCGTCAAGATGAAGCACGAGTTGTTCGATTACCTGTCATCACACACTTTGACCTCGTAGGGATCAGGGAAGTGGTGATCTAAGAGCTAAATGATGTAATTAGTCGTCTAGAAGCGTTTACCAGCAATGAGAATACATCACCACGCAACGCCCCAAATGGCGAGAATGGTGGCACAAATAAAACTCACCATGAGGCCGCTAATGATGAGCGTCCAGTCTTTGTGGGCAGGGGCAGAAACTCCTCTTTCTGGATGGTTTGATCATGAGATTAATACAGTTCAGCAGCCGTTACGCTTGCAGTTTAAGTTAGAGGGCCGCGCACAAGGCTGGGTGCTTGCTTGCAGTACCTGCGCATAAAGGTCTGACCAATACAAGAAGCTTTAGTGATGTGTCTCGTGAGTGTTTGAACAGTCGCATCAGGCAATTTGGGTACGTTCCGAGTTCGAGTCTAGCTATCAAGGAAGTCGGTAACTATTGTAACATGCCTAGGGGTCTCCAAACAACATCGCTGCAATGGCGGTAGACCCTATTCCGAAGAAAGCAACCAGTACCATCTTTGCGGGACGACGAGCTCGTAGAGCTACCACCTCCGATGCTCCAAACGGTATCTGTGAAGCAAAAATTGTGCACCGCATTCAGCGAGACACCTATTCCTTCCTCGACAGAAACAAAGGCCACGAATGGGCTTGGTGCGAGCCACCCCAGCTCGAAGACCCTGAAAGGAGTCACCTACAGAGAAGATCCAGAGAGAGATGCTTAGCTGCGAAGCAGATCCGTGCTTCATAATTCAGAAATTGTTTGATTACTGATATATGTGCCCTATGCGTCCCCTTCACTTTAGGCTGAGATGCACAAAAGGCTTGGCTGGCTCCAACGAACCCCGTGCTGGAAAGCTTGGACACCCAGTAGGTGGAGAGTGGTCTACCAAAGATTAAAGATGCATTTTATTGTACCTCGTGGTGATCGAGTTCAGTGAATCCAGCCCCTCATAGAGACGATTTTAAAATGAAAGGTAGATCTTACAGCCAGATTACTGGCTGTCAACATCAATGTCCCAGGATTTGTAAAGTTGTGGAAAGACCCGATAGAATTAAAAGCGTCGTGCAGTTTCGCTTGACGAACATATGTCAAATTAAAGAGGCAGTACGCCAAAGCATCGAAGTTGCTGGATGGGGATACGATATCAATGCGTCGTGTGACGGAAACAAGATGTTTAAATCCGGAAAAGCCGAAGATTTTGACAGCGCAGAATGCTGTCGCGTCCTTGACCTTAATTTGAGACACAATTTTATTGTATGTCTGGAATTGCTTTTCCGCCATGAACTCTGGATAATCTAAAATCGAGAGCTGTAGATGCAACACACTTACCTCCTGTTATGGTTTTGTTGCGTTATAATCTCACCACTGCTTGGAGGCAGAAGCACATTAGTGTGGACACAAATATACATTTACCGTGCGTGTATTCGGTATTGCTACCGCCCCTTTTTTGTCGGTGCAAGACGTGGGATTTTTCGAAATGATAAGCAATATGACTGAGTACAGAGTTTGGAAGGCAGATGGAGTAACGAGCCGAGGTTTCACGCGGCAAAAATCGGCAGTGTATCGCGGTATATCTCCAGTAATGCTTGATAAAAAAGCCAAATCTTTTCTCTTGTGGAAAGGTTTTGGGTCGGCGTACCTGCCAATGTTAGCTAGCATCCGGTAAAGGGTGGACGGGAGTTTAAACATTTCCTCTGACTGGATTGCCCTTACCTCGCTAAAGCTTTTGGGCTGGTACTTTCTCTTCCATCGTCGCTTCGGTGTAAGTGACAAGGCCGCTATTAACATGTAAGCTAATGAGTGGATAATAGCTTTCGCAAGAATTTAGACGATAAGCTACGTCAACATGTCTCCTAATTCTTCAACTAGATCCTCCCTCTCGGTGTGTGTGTGTCTTTGTACGTTACTTGCTCGATGCAACGCATCTTTTACTAGAGATGAAGCCCAGTGTTCTTCTATGCTCAAAGCTTGGCTTGTAGCTGTATTATTAGGCTCATAGTTATGAAAAGGGCGTCAGCTTTACTTACCGAAGGCAAGGGAGAGGTCTTGAATCGACGTTGATGTCGTGTTGATTATCTCGAAAGAAAAAAACATCAGCGACGTCTAAATCTGACGTCAATGTCATTAAATCATACTTCGAAAGCCATGTTCACAATATGGTAGAGTACTCTAGACTAATTGAAGGTCGTTGTGAGTTGTATGCTTGATAATATAATCTGAGCTTTTTGGGCTGGTCAAGCTCTTTTGCAACAGTACCGACCCTTTCGTCGTATCCGATATGGGGAGTCTGACCTCTTGTTGTTTTGGACTACGAACACAATATGCGGTTTCATTCGGTAGTGAACCCTAGACGAGTGAGAGTTTTCCAAGCGAAGTGCTCTGGAAATAGCTTGTAATGCTCTAGGGTTATCTAAAGCACTGACGACGCTCAATGGTATGTACGGTGTCACAGCAATTATGCCTCATAGTGAATACGAACGGACTAATTCTGACGATCTGTTCGTTCATAGTCTTGTAGAACAGAGTGGCTAGGATATGGACATCTAATTCTATCACTTACGAGTAGTGCCAGGATTAAAGGCGGGAATGAGACATATGTCAATATCAACAATTTGGTTTGCCACCGCAGAAATCTATTCCAGGGATACATCGGCCTGAGGGTAGATCCCGCCATAATCACGGCAAGTGTAGGTTGGCCAGTGCCGCTACTTCAAACAATTGGCTTTGCCTGGCCAATTGCTTGCACAAAAGCAGTGCAAATTACGCCGACATGATGCCGCCCAGAACAATTTTTCTGGAAATATGTCACCTGGTGTCGGGATGCAGCAAAAAAGACGCCTTCTGGGCCAGACAAAAACGTTATGTGCCCCCCCCCGATTCCACATTAAAATTCGAATTGGCCATTATTGGCTGATTGTGACGCTTTGGTCCTTCTCATAGGCAGCGGATTACTTCAAATTGCTGCCAATATGTGTGAGCGCGTCATTGCGCTTGAAACTCGCTAGAAAAGTATCAATTTCAAGACAAAAATATATCTACTAACATGCTCTTGTCAAGCGCATGGTATGCCTGATCGGCTTGAAGCCACTCGCAAATTCATGCTGACACACGTGCTAATACGTGAAGTGACATTATCGCCATATCGAATAGAGAATATTGATGCGGAGGAATCCCGTGAGACAATGTTTCGGCCTATTCAATGGAGTGTGTTTGTGAAAAGTGTTTCCCTTATATCTGTCGAATGTCACAATGAATGTCGAGCATCGGCAAGAGGGTACGGATCAGCTGCAAAATTTGTTATACTTTGAAGGCTGTCAAAAGTGAGGGCTTTTTGGCTTGGAAGTAGCTGTATCGAAGCGTTTGGAAGCACATTTACACCGCTAATTCGAAGGTTTGCCGTAGTATAATACGGATGCGTTATACAGACAACGAGGAGTGGAACCTCTCGAATAGGCACAAGAGAGCGTACGAGGTAGATGATACGCATTTAAGGGGTCACCTTGGTCAATATATGGCATGCTTATCAGCGAGCGCTATGTACTCTGCAGTTCCTGAGTTTGAACCATGGATGCGCATACGTGGATACGCTCCGACAGCTCACACTAAATATATCGAGTTTGCAACATAGTGTGTTGCCGGTCTGATATCAGCAAGTGGAGCTCTATCTAACCCTCTCTCTCCATCACGATCGGAGCCAATTTGATCTAGTTTTAAAGAAAGTACAAGGGTTTACCATACAGGGTCGGCATGAATAGGACATGCACATCATACTGTTGTGTTACAAGATTAAAGCGTGAACCAAAATAAGCATGGAGATAACCATGATGAAGCATAATGATGAGTACTCGGTACCGATAAGAATAACAAAACCTAGTCACGCCATGCGCTTTTATGAACTTGCTATTATATTGTAAACCGTTTCAATCAAAATCAATCAAAGCTAGCCTTAATCTATGTGACGATTTCTATATTTTGAACATCAAAGTAATCTGATCGAGTTGCCAACGATCACATCTTCTGTGTGCTGGTTAGCGCGGACCATACAAGTCAAAGCTTCTCTTGTGTGATGCGCGGCAACCCCGTCGCACTTTGTTGCACATACTTATACTTGTCTATATTTCCTGCGGGAATGAAACATACATTGTTCTTATCATACTTATAATGTCCTTTGTCATGAAGGGATAGCGCAATTGGCAGCCTGAGGTTCGAAAGCTGTTAAATCTTTCCTGAAGGTGCTCACCAGCCTACTCCAGGATTGCTTCAGTCAATCGTCGATAGATGCTTAGACGGCTTCAATCGAGATCCTTAAAGCAAGGCCGCCTTTCTCTAGCGTCAATCCTTTAAGGGCAAGGACGAAGAGATTCTACCTTTCTTTATACGAGAGGTTGAGATGGCTGTGAACTCCGCCCTGCTTGAGACGGAGTAACAGCGAGTCGCACCAGCAGCCTTCAAGCCTAGAGGTTGCACATAAAAGTGAGCAGTCTCGGTAGTATATACGTGAGCAAAACATTTGTATCGTCAGTAATACTCAAGCAATTGATGTCATGAGGTTGCTCAAACCACCTGATGAGTGTTACCGCCTTCGGTCAA